TATCATATTCGTAATCAGCATATTCGCTTACCCCTCTTTGCCAACTCCCAGCCCTGTAGTTCAAAAATTGCAAAAAAAATAATCGATAAAATGATAGAAGTAATGGGCATTTTTGAAAATGGTTATCATATTCGTAATCAGCATATTCGCTTACTCCCGTGTGCCAACTCCCAGCCCTGTAGTTCAAAAATTGCAAAAAAAAATAATCGATAAAATGATAGAAGTAATGGGCATTTTTGAAAATGGTTATCATATTCGTAATCAGCATGTTCGCTTACCCCCTGTGCCAACTCTCAGCGCCGTAGCTCGAACTTTGCAAAAGATCGATAAAATGATAAAGGTAATTGATAATTTTGAAAAATAATATTGTATTCGTAATCAGCATGTTCGCTTACCCATTTTTGCCAACTCCCAGTGTCGTAGTTCAAAATTTGCAAAAAAATCGATAAATGATGAAACTAATGGGCATTTTTGAAGATGGTTATCATATTCGTAATCAGCATGCTCGCTTACCCTCCTGTGCCAGCACCCAGAGCCGTAGCTCGAATTTTGCAAAAAAATCGATAAAATGATAAAAGTAATTGATAATTTTGAAAAATAATATTGTATTCGTAATCAGCATGTTCGCTTACCCCTCTTTGTCAACTCCCAGCCCCGTAGTTCAAAAATTGCAAAAAATCGATAAAACGATAAAAGTAAGGGGGCATTGAAAATGGTTATCATATTCGTAATCAGCATGTTCGCTTACCCTCCTGTGCCAACACTCAGCGCCGTAGCTCGAATTTTGCAAAAAATCGATAAAATGATAAAATTGATGGGCGTTTTTGAAGATGGTTATCAGATTCGTAATCAGTATGCTCGCTTACCCCCCTGTGCCAACTCCGAGCCCCGTATCAAAATTTGCAAGTAATCGATAAATTTGGTAGAAGTAGTAACAAGTTTCCATACTGGAAAAACACAGACACGAAAACACCATCGACCAGAAAAATACCATCGAGGACGTACAGACAGCATCCACCAGCGTACAGACAAGTACACCATTCGATTTTATATATATAGAAGGATTATCAATTTATTACAAACATCTACAACGTAATTCTTCCCAGAGTTACTAGTAAGATGAAAATTTCCGGAAGTTCCAATCATCTACTAACTTCAATCAGCATTCTTGGTAAATTTCCAGAATCCTATCTCCATATGACACTTCAGCAGTCGTGATCATGTATAATAACCTACGAGTTTCACTTCGTATTGCTGTCCTGCATATGCAAGTGTTGTGGAGTTCGGAAGGTTAATAAAATACTCAAACTTAGCTCAAGAGTATACCCCATTTTTAATGAATCTTTATGTGATTCACATGCAGATCAAGTAAATTTTGCTTTGAGTCCGCTAGATTCACTCTAACCTCCAACATTTCCAAAAAACATGCTTGAAAAAGTGAAGTACTCAATATATCTGAAAACAAGCAAACGGGTAGAAAAGTCCGATTTTCCAACCCTTGTTCTAGTCAGGATGGATCAAATAGAAAGCCTTCTTGGAGCCATAGGCTTGAGGAACACTGAGTAACTAGAAGATGCGACGAAAACAGAACGTTACGCTCTGTCGTAACACTTGTTTTGTGATTCTCCGACACTCTCCCGGGCGTATAACCCGGTCGATTTTGTGCAGTCTATATGGTCATAGTGTTGACGACTTCTATATCATCAACCCAATCCATTCCATTTTCCACATCGCCTATGGAGTTCCCATAGGCTAAATTGTACGCCACTCATTCTTGAGTATCTAATCACTCAAGAATGATTGGCACATGTGCACCAGGAGTGTAGCCGAACGGCGGCAACTCCTTTTAAGCCATGTACCCCTCATACGTTGTACATGGTACCCGGGCAAGCTCCGCCTTCTATCCGTGTGTATAAGGAGCCCCCGACTGTATTATAGATCGCTCTCTCAGTTGGAATCTACGTCACCTGTGCAAATAAATCTATATTCCACTTCGTCTACCCCATTCACTTGGTACACACCAAACATGGCTATGCGAGAAATCATGACTATCCCTGCATAACTACTCTAACTTTCGTTGCGTACCAGCGGCGTTCGATGCTCATCTGAGCGGAACATGCAAACTCCGCTGGCAAGAAGAATTGTACGCCGCTGGGGGTGTATGACTTTATGAACGACGGCATGTGCCAGCCGCCTGATGGGTACCGTACGCGATGCGCTGAATGCTCCGCCTCCTTGTCAATTAGTTAGGAATGCGTTGCATATCAGAAACCTTAAAGGCAGTGTCCGGGCAAAATGGGGGTTCTGAGATTTCTCTGCCATGTGAAAGTAGCCCCCCTGAGACACAACATCGCGCAACTGCGAGCATAAAACGTTCGACCTAAAGCAAGAAAAACGATTGCAAATTGGGGAAACTTACGCCTTGGGGCGGGGTCCTCCGAGTTGTTTGAATTCCTGCCAGACGGCAGAGTACGTATGCCGCCACAGTTAAAAACCGTGCGCTCTTTGCAACCTCTGCGTCTTAGCCTGGCGGGGATCCCCAAATTGCGAAATGTGAGGACTTGGAAAATGCATGTTCTCGCCGTTTTCGCGCCTTCTGATGTGGATTTTTGGATTCAGCGTTGCGGATAACCCCATATAAGTTGATTTTTTAGAAGTCGAGCTTCTGCCCGGACACTGCCTTTAATAGTTCATGCTCCTTCAGTTAGCTGCAATTTGGATATAGAATAGAATTCAAAATTTCGATCGAATTGAAAACCAGCTTTCAAAATCATTTTCCATTATAAATTAGTTCGCAAGCTCTTTTTTGATGTGTTTCAGTTTTTTGTTCCTAGTAGGTTTGTCCAAATTGATTTTTCATAGCAACTGTGAGGAATATGTTCCGAAAATGCTTGGAAAAGTGTTTCAATTATCTTTATTCACACCGTTACTATATCGAATATTCTTTATTGTACACTCTCAAGTTCAGTTCAAGAAGACGTCAGCTTATCGAGAAGTATTATTATTATTGCTGAAATAACTAACACGATTATCTCTTTTACCAGAAAACTAAGTTTTAAAACTTTACTCATAGCTATACAGGTTTCATTACGGCGAGAATTCAAAACAAGCATTTTAGGCAAATTTTGTTTCAAGCAAACTAATTTCAATAACTTGTATACATCATTACATTTGATAATCTGCTTCAATTGATAAAATTCTTTCATTTTGCTCCCATCAGTTTGAATGATCGAAAACCAATTTCAACAAATATTCACTTATAACTCGAAATTCATAGAATTTAGAAAAGCGAAATTTTTAAAAATTTAGAAAAACTGTAGTCGCTTATAATTTCTCCACGGAATCTGCTTTGATAAATAATTGTGCATTACTTCCAGAAACTGCGCTTTCGAATCAAATCGATTGCTGTTTCGCTCGAAGTTGCGTGTGAACAGTTAAAGATATGAGGTCACCCAGACAATCATGCCTGAGGTGTTCTAGATTGATTTCACACTTCAAATTTGCTACGAAGACACTCGGTCATCCGGAGGTGAATCAGCAAAACATTCAAGAAATCAGTATCTCACAAATGGGCAAAAAATCAACAAGAAAACAAACGATTCTGTATATAATAAGCTTCTCCCCGGCTTGAAGCAAGCTTATGGCTTAATATCAAAGACTGATTTTAGTGGACTAGTGAACATGGCTATGAACCAGTGCCCAAGATGTAGTGCAGCAAACTCGTCCATCTAGCGATAGGCGGGGCTAACGGTGCGCACCTTATGCCTGCCTAAGCGCGCGCTATCGCTCATAAAGTCCGCCAACCCGCCGCTGATACATCAAAAGATACGCCATTGACTCGTCCATCCTATACTGGTTATTGGACTAGTCACAATATTGACTGAAATGGAATTCGCTACTTTCTATTAAACCAAAATGAAAGCAAAGATCCTATAATTTTGACCGATGGACTCCATGGAGTCGAAAGCGAAGGAGTACCCATACAACACTCAATCAAAGGCAGCATCCAGGCAGATCTGGACCTATGGCGATTTCACATGAAGAGTAATTTTGGGGCCCTCACTAAGGCACTGCCCAAGCGGCAGTGCAGGTGACTCACTAAAGATATACGCCTCAGAACTGGACCACAGGATCTATTCGCATGGAATGGCAGTTTAGCGCGACCCACGCGTTGTGCCATGAATCCATGCGGAAACGATCGCGGAATCCAGTTTCGAAGGGAGTATCTCAGCCGTTAGAGCACTATCTGAGCTGCAAATTGGGCAGTGTCATAGTTGGGACCCAAAATTACGATCCACGTGAGAGCCCCATATGTCCAGATTTGCCTGGACGGTACCTTTAAGAAGCTATCGGGTCAATTACATAAAGACAACAACTTGACAAGTTGACGACCGTGTGCATCCGCCCGTATGCAGCCCGGACCAACTTTTAGCACTTTCGTGCATCATTTTACCATGTGTAAACAAAAAGTTTTCAGGTAACTTCTATGCAGTGATAACACTGGTGCCCTGGCTGTCATACAGAACACACGGCATTGCGGTAGCTGTTAAACAGTACTAACCGCAGCCGTAGATCGTCAGTCCATTCTGATGTGGTCAAAAATGGCTCGGTCGTCAGCGTGTTAATTTTAGTCCTTATCGAGTACCAACAAGCGTTAATCAGCTAAATAAAGGCTGAGACAGCCCAGCTACTGCTTTGTATCCCATGCGCGTATTGCTGGCGCTTCAGCGTGGAATAATACGCAGCTTTGATAGTACGCCGCTCGTCCGACAACGGTACGCCGCTGGTAGGACTAATTACGGAACGCCGCTGAGACGCTAAATGCAGAACATAGGATACCGTTGGCACGCCAAGCCATCTAGGAACGCCGCTGGTATGCAACGAAATCGGAGGGGTGGCGGACTTTATGAACGATAGCACGCGCGGGTGAGTGGCAGGGGGGTGGGGGGCGGCGGGTGTCAGTAGGGTCGGGTGTCATCCGAGGCCGCGCCTACCGCTAGATGGAAGGGACGAAGGAGTTCCTAGCACCTCCATTCGCACCAGCATTCACACTCCAGAAGGCTCCTCGCACCTTCGCGCAACAGAGGTCAAACCCCGCCCCTACTCCCTTCTTCACTGGTCTCATTCGAAGGCTGCGGGCTGATGGAAGAGCACAGGTATGCAACGAAAACTCATGAAAAATCGTCATCTTGCGAGGCAAATCTTCTAGTTATTGCCCTTTACAAGGAAAGACACTTTGAACCCCCCCCCCCCCCCCAAAAAAAAACCTTACAGTGCTTTAGGTAAGCAGTGGGTATATTTTTGGTTCGAAAATGTTTTGTGAAGAAAGTGCGTTGATAAGTTGATTTCACTGCAAAGGTTTTTCATAGTTTCTGTTTCTGCATCACCATGGATTAAAACTTGCCAAACGTACGGAGCATTGTTATGAACGTTTCAAAGATTCCTTAACGATAACTGTCGCCATTTTGATACTATCGCTTTGGCATTTTCAACCAGACTCAATACGAAATTTGCAGGGCTATCTTTGAAAACTTGTTTCTCTGGACTGCCAACAAAATGATGAATTGGGATAACTATCTCGAAGCGCAAAACCCACTTCTTTTCTTTAAGAAGCCATGAAGTTAGGTTCAAATCTTAGTAAGTGATTGAATTTTCTTTGATTTAGGCGAGAACTTCTGGATCGACATATATAGTAGGTCAGAATCGTTTTACATGCTAACAGGAAATTTACAAATTTCAGTGGATATTTAGTTAAAATCAATTGCAAAAGTATCAACAAATCTCTCCAGGAAAAAGTCTTTCTTATCATTTATTATCATGAAAAGCACCAGAATATGAATTCAAAAAAGGGAAATCTTAGTAAAGCGATGCCCACAAAAAGACTTCATAACCTCTCATCTGTCATCTTCCATTCGTCATTATTCATTCATTTAACAGAACACATTGGGACTATTCTCCAAGCCAGCACAACTCGGAATAAGATTAGCTGGTGGGCGGAGCAAGTAGGCGGAGCCGTCTAAAAGGTGCGAAGGCCCCTTGGAGGTGCTAACTACCCCTGCAAGGAAAGGCGGCGAGGCTTTGGGAACTCCTGGGCCGCCGCCCCGCTAGATGGACGAGTTTTCCGCAGGACAAAGTCAGAGTATGTGTATGGTGTAAGAAAAAGTGCCTTAACTTCGATTGCTGGAGTCAACGTGTTGAAACGAATCGAAAGGCAGCCACGTTGATGATTTATATGGAACTTTCAGGGGGATGATGAACGAAAGGGTGTCCCAAAAAATATGTATCGAACGTTTGATCTTCAATAACTTCCCTATATGGAAAACTTCTTTTTGTGTCATACGGTAGAGCTGAGTTCAACTTAGATTTACAGTATAGAGCGAGTCACCGGTTCCACCTATTTACTGTAGGATTACGGTAGGAATTTTCGACTGTTTTTACGCTTCTGACAGGCGAGAACTGCTTCTAAACAATTCCAAAGAAAACGAAGGACTTTAAACTGAGGTTTTCGGGGATGCTGATTCTAATTACAAAGTTTAACCCCTACCTATTTTCTTACGGTATGCACACTGTAACGCTAAATTTTTAGTTTTTTTTCCAAAATTTACTAAATTAACTTGCACTTAATAACATAACGAAATCTAACAATCAAACCAAACCTATCTTATCGAATCATTATTTGTGTTCGAAACCTGATTTTATAATTTCCTGCATTCATTATTTGCAGTTAATGAAGAATGAAGAAGCCTTCAAGGTTCACTTGAACTTTGATTGACAAGGACGACGTCGATTTAGGGCCGCATGCACTAATATCTCCGCGGGGAGGGGATCGCAGCTTCAGAAAAAGCTTCATATCCTGAAGCTCCGGATATCTGGATTTCAGCTGTCTACCTATCCGTAAGTATTCCTACTACCCTTCACTATGAACATGTTGAACAGGAGCGAGAAACTGTACAAACCGCATTTTCCAGCTTTTATATGATCCCTGATGATCCCGGCGCTTTTCTTTAGAGTCATTTTTCTTTCTCCGAAGTTAACGAAAACCTTCCAAAGTTGTACTGAACATCTAACACAACACTGCTGAGCATGTTGCTGATGAAATTTTTCGGTAAGCCTCAAATTTCGACCTGTGGATCATCGCAAATTTCATGACTTCAAAACATCATTTGTTCTTAGCAGCAACATGCTTAGCACTGTCGGGTTAGACAATCTGCACTCTGGAGATTCTTCGTTAACTTCGGAGAAAGAAAAATGACTTTAAAGAAAAGCGCCAGGGGTCATCAGGGATCATACAAAAACTGGAAAATGCTGTTTGTACAGCTTCTCGCTCCTGTTCAACATGTTCACAGTGAAGGGTAATAGGAATACTTACGGATAGGTACACAACGTGAAATCCAGGTATCTGGAGTTTCGAAATATAAAGCTTTCTTTTAAGCTGCGATCCCCTCCCCGCGGGGATGTTAGTGCATGCGGCCCTTAGTAAGTTTTGAAAAAATGCCAAAAATTTAGCGTTATAGTGTGCATACCATAGGAAGATAAGAGTGCGGTAGGGGAAAACTTTGGGGGCTTAACTTTTATTCGAAAACGTGACGATGGCGAGATCGCGCGCAACACGCACGCGTCTTCTGGAAACCGCACTTTCTTAGTTTTCACGCTATTTGAATGGTTTTTCTGCTCGCATATGATAGTTTTTTTACACACTGGAAGTGACTGAGTTGAGCTTTGAAGTTATGCCTTTTTGTATTATGCCTTTTTGTATAAGTGATTTATGCTTCTGTGGGCGCAAAGGCCGCAGTCAGATCCGTCGTCACGATTTTAAAAATGACCTGTAATTAGATCCAGCATCCCCGAAAACCTCAGTTTAACGTCCTTCGGTCCTTTTTGCAGTTTTTAGAAGCAGTTCTCGCCTGTCAGAGGCTTAAAATTACTCGAAATTCCTACTGTAATCCTACAGCAATTAAGAGAAATCGGTGATTCGCTCTATACTGCAAATTTAAGCTGAACCCAGCTCTACCGTATGACACTCAAAGATCCACGAAAGCTTTCCATATAGGGAAGTTATTAACACGTTTCGGATCGCGAAATCGCGCGCGGCGAAAAAGAGTGTATCGTCGATTCGTTGACTGTACGGACTGGACATAACCGCGGAGCACGCGCCGCGAGGTAAAACGCTTGCTCCAGTGCAAACTCGCCATTGTTAAAATCGTGCTCTCGCAACATTTTAACCGCGCCGCGCGTGGTCCGCAGCGGTTGAGCAGTCCGTACGGCCAACAATCGACGATACTTTCAGCCGTTAGCCTACAAAGGACCCTATTTCGCAGCCTGTGGCTCACATTTGTATTTAATCAGTATTTCAGATAAGCTCCATACCCAAAGTTCTGAGTGAATTTGAAGTGTTTGAATTTTGTCGCTTGAGAGGGACTTTTGTGTTTGGAAGATAGGAGTAAGAACTCAGTTCCAAATAGTATTCAAAAGTGTCTATGTTGTACTTGGTACACATCATTGAAACTACGGTTTTTCTCTCTGAAATCGAAGCAAAGGGAAGTTGCGACGTCGCACGCGTCGTTCGCGTTGCCGCACTTCGTTGCAACTGTTGTTGGATTTGTCCTCATATCTCCTAAACAAATATATGCGGCACAGCTCAGCTCTAAAGTCATTTGAAAAGAAGGAGCTTAGGCCTTTGACTTTAACCTAAGAAAACCTCCTGTAAACGTTAAAAAGAGCCTTCAAAGCCGCGTGCTGCACCATGTGCAGCACCGGTCCGAAACGTGTTGAAGATCAAACGTTCGATACATCTTTTTGGGATACCCTGTATATAAGTGGCACATGTGGTAAAGCGACAAGATTCTAGAAGTAAAACCTAAATCGAGTCGTTACCGTAACCGAAGCAAGCTGTTAAGTTAAATGCGCGCCTCCGCAGTTACACACTGCACCATATTTCACCCTTAAGACCACAATTTCATGAACATTTTGTTCCCGCAACCAGAATGAGGTGCTGAAACTGAGATTTCAAATTTCAAAAATTTGGGTTCAGTAAAGAAAGTGTTCGAATTGACGAGAAAATTGGGATTTGGATGTTTCCGAAGCTGCTCTATCCAAAACCACCATTTATTTTGCTCAAAAAATCATGAAACTGGGTTTTGAAATAAGTTTCAGAATACGAAGTCCAAAAGTCCAAGTTCGACCAATTTTTACAATGACGAATTGTGATCTGAATAGTAAATTGGCGCTATTCGGCTATCCGGGCACCAAAATTTTTTTGTCGTGGATTTCGATCAAACTCGGCCCAGAAGGGTTATCTGCCATGCTGATCACGAATATCACCTTTTCTCCGCAGGAAAACGCCTCCCTACAGGGTTACGGTAGGTACACAGTAGGGGATCAAAATCACAGATTTGGCTGAAACTTGGCCCAGGGGGTTATCTGACATGCTGATCACGAGTATCACCTTTTCTCCGCAGGAAAACGCCTCCCTGCAGGGTTACGGTAGGTACACGGTAGAGGGTCAAAATCATAGATTTGCCCGAAACTTGGCCCAAAGGGGTTATTCGGCCCGCTGATGCCAAATATCACATTGGTTTTGAACCGTAGCGTCATTTTCTCAGGTCACGGTAGCTACACGGTAACGGGTTAAAACATAGTTCTGCCTAAAACGGGTGTACGGCGATTCGGACGATCGTGAGCTTTGCACACACGACCACCGCCGCGCGCTACACACCCTGCTGCGGCTTTTGCCTAAGCAAAGCACGGGAAAGACACATTTGCCGATTTATGAGTTTGACCTCTACCGTAAACCTACCGTAACTATGCAGGGAGACGTTTTCGTGTGGAGAAAGTGTGACATCTCTAATCAGCATGTCGAATAACCCCTCTGTGCGAAGTTACGGCAGATTTTGAGATTTTGACCCCCTACCGTATACCCACCGTAACCCGAGAAAGTGCTACGTACAAAACCAATGTGATATTCAGCATCAGCGGCCCGAATAACCCCTCTGGGCCAAGTTTCAGAGAAATCTATGACTGTGACCCTCTACCGTATACCTACCGCAACCCCGCAGGGAGGCGTTTTCCTGCGGAGAAAAGGTGATATACGTGATGAGCATGTCAGATAACCCCCTCGGGCCAAGGAGCGAAATCCATGACAAAAAAATTTTGGGGCCAGGATAGCCGAATAGCGCCTCTGACATGCTGATCACGAATATCACCTTTTCTCCGCAGGAAAATGCCTCCCTGCAGGGTTACGGTAGGTACACGGTAGGGGGTCAATATCACGGATTTGCCCGAAACTTCGTCTAGAGGGATTATTTGGCACGCTGAACACGAATATGATGTTTATCTCGTGCGACAGCGCCATCCGGTGAAGTTACAGTAGGACTACGGTAGAGGGTCAAAATCACGGACTTGCCCGAAACTTGGCCTAGAGGGGTTATTCGGCCCGCTGATGCCAAATATCACATTGATTTTGAACCATAGCGTCATTTTCTCGGGTTACGGTAGCTAAACGGTAACGTGTGTAAAGCATAGTTCTGCCTGAAACTGGTGTACGACGATTCGGACGATTGTGAAGCTTTGCACACACGACCACCGCCGCGCGCTGCACTTGCTGCGGCTTTTGCCTAAGCAAAGCACAGGGGGAGATACATTTGCCGATTTGTGATTTTTACGCCTACCGTAAACCTACCCTAACCATACAGGGAGGCGTTTTCGTGCGGAGAAAGTGTGATATTCGTGATCAGCATGTCAGGTAACCCCCCTGGACCAAGTTTGAGCGAAATCCATAACCATAAAAATTTGGGGCCCGGATAGCCGAATAGCGCCAATTTTTTTTACTGAACAAATTTTTGAAATTTGAAATCTCAGTTTTAGCATCTCATGTTGGTTGCGGGAACAAAATGTTCATGAAATTGTGGTCTTAGGCGTGAAAGGTGCAGTGTGTAACTGCGGAGGCGCGCATTCAACTTTACGGCTTGCTTCGACGGTAACGATTCGATTCAGGTTTTTTTTTGAGTTTCAACTTGTTAGAAATCTAAATAGGTACATACATCACGCACTCGAGCCTTCTAGTCAAGAAATGGAGGGCCATATTTTCAGAACAAGCCGTTGTGTCAAACTTGTGATTTTGCGGAAAGCACAGGAAGACATTCTTCGTGTAGTCGTTTCTGTTGCCCTTTAGCCTGTATGTTCTTGCAACTGCATCACTGTATAGCTACAAATGGCATCTTTGGAAGTTTTGAACGTGGAACGGTTAAAAACATACGATAAAGCAGCGAAGGAGGTAAGCGGTTATCAATTTGTTCTTCGCTTTGTGTGAATGTGATGCTTCTTTCAAATGTGGTGCTTCTATTATTTGTTTCCATTTTCGTTTGAAAGGATATATCACATCATTCGTAATAGCTGACTCAAAACTATCAGTTTGGTCTTCAAAATCCAAATATGGCTGTCTTTTTCAATTTGTGAGGTGTGTCGCTCACTTCGTTGATGTGACGCAAAGGGTCAGCAGTGCGAGTAATTGTCGTTTTGATAAATAATTTCGTAGCCACTTTGGCGGGATCTATGATGATTATGTATATCAGGCGTAATAATATAGATATACGTATATATACATATTGAAGACATTCGCTCGGCTGGGAAAGCTTTTGGGTGCAAAACAACAGGAACTACTCGAGTACGATAGCATAGTCCTTAAACTGGAGGAACTTCCGCGTAAGCGCACGCAGTGTATAATGGTGAGTTCATCAATATCATCCCAGTGTAGTGACGTAACTATAGTTCTGTATAAGTATGTCGTGAATTTGTATATACATGTGTGCTGAAACTCAGTGATCTACAAGAAAGTTTCACGATTGTAGTTCACGCAGTTTAGTGCCCTGTTGGTTCCGTGGGTTTCCTACCGGCGAACATAGTTCATACCAACGAAGTATTGGTTGGCTTGGGTGACGGGTACTTCCTTGATACGACATGTTACGACGCCGTACAGATTCTAAAGAGGCGCAGGAAGGGTGTGCATTATAAATTTCCGGCATTTTTCCTCCATACTACTTTTTTAAGTTGTCGAGAAAGGTATTGCGGATCTGCATGAACATAGGAGATTATTGGAAAACTATTCGACCTATGCCAAGAGGCTTTTTGAGCATGTAAGTCAGTCAAATCATCTTCGATTGTTTGATTACTTTCGTGTCAGCAAGGCAGCTCTGATGAGGTAGAAATCAGAGAAGAGTATGATGAGCAAAAGGAAGATGAGCTGAGAAGTGAGTTTTGATTTGCTAATGTTTCTGTATCTATTGAGCACGTGTTGCTCAAATTCTTTTTTTCTCTCTTATCATTCTGAATATTCATTCTTTACGACTTAAACCTTTAAGGAAGGCGGAAATCCAGAAAAATGGCTCCGCGGCTTGTCACCAAAACATTGGCTGAGATCAATGCCGAGGTTGGTGCTCTATCTTGTGGTAGTACCTTCTGCTAACGATATATCTTTCCACAAAATGAGGCCCTTCTCCACTTCTTTATTTTCTCACTTCTATAAATGTTTATTGTGTGCCTTCTTCAACTTGTAGAGCTTTCTCAAATCATAACGTGCGATTTGTCTACGCATAACTTTACGTGGCATTGTTCAAGCACACGAATAATAAACGAAAGAATTGTATTTCATCCTGTTTTTAGGCAGAAATCATGAAGAGACTGGAGGAGCTGGAGCAACAAGAGCTACGAAATGGTGAACTTGACAGCTCATTTGATATAGATGCAAGTGCCGGCAACGAGGAAGCTCCTCCTTCTCTTGTAAAGCGGCTATGTCTATGCTAGCAATCAGCTTTATTTCTATTATTTTTCAGGACAAAATACTAGAAAAGCTTGACGATGATGACACCAAGTGTCTTATGTCAATACTGGCTTCGGAGAAATCCGTTATAGCAGCGGTACCCGAGGGGCAAAGTTCTAATGATGCTGAACCTACCACATCCGCGGAAACAACAAATGTAGAGCCAGTCACGTCTCCTGAACCCTCGTTACAAAAGGAAGAAGAAGCCGGCATCCGAGTTGCAGAAATAGTTGAACTTCCAATAAAAAAGGTAATGCGAACATGAAAAGAAAAACGTTGATAGTGTATTTTAGATCAAACCATCTGTATTGACTACAACTGATTCTGCCAATGTGCCATCCACAACTGAAACTAGTGTACCACCAAAAGCCGAGCTGTCCACGGGTTATTTCCGAGGGGTGTGTTCCTTTACAATTTATCACTTACTTTCGGGTCGAAATCGCTTCCTTAATCACTGTATTATGGATCCATTCTGTTCGTTGTTTCTTTGAGATGTCTAGGTAAAGTTGGGTAATGGAGTTTTAAAAGCTCGAAGCGGTGTTATAACGGGGCGGCTGTGTGGTTGTCGATGTTTTTTGCAAGAGATCATCTGAACTAAAATGTGCTCCAGAAGATGAATGTGGTGCTGTCGACGTCGCTCATCAACGTGGGCAGCGCTAAGTCGGAATGGGCAAATCATGAAAATGCTGAGAGACATTTTGTTTGTTGTGAAACATTGTGGGAGAGACTTGGCAGCTTAGGATTGTTTCATACTGCAGTTGCTGCAGCTTCACCTGAGCAATGTCGTCAGACTTTGCTACAGTACATATTTTTCAGGATGATTTGTTGAGGATGCTTGCTGAACAAGAGCAGGAATACGAAGAGAACAGTCAGTCTTATCAGCCTCCCCCTGGTATCAGTACGCAGGTTCGTTTCCTTATTTCTTACGAACTGCGCATCGAAAGTTGCATCAGCAGTCCTACCAAAGACTTCTTCGAACAGTGGACGAAATGGAGGATGATGAAGAGAGTGATGATGGGGATGAAGAAGGAGAAAACGGAAGAGTTTTTAAGGAAATAAATGGTGTTAGAAGTTCAAGTGCACCATCAACAAACATATCACACGGGTTAGTTCTGTTGATGATATTTTTACACGTTTAAACTGCTGTTTTCAGCTCTGATCTCGATTCTGACGATCTCGCTGAACCAGAACCCGATGGTCCGGTCGATTTTGGGCCTTTTACTGCTGTGAATTTAGGAACGGATGCCCGCCCAGTTGAAGAACATCTCAACGAAACTGATGGTGTTACCAGTGTTGCTCCAAAGGCATCCACGTCAGCCCTTGCTGAGGGTGAAGTGAAGAAGGCGTCTAAAAAGAAGAAGAGTGTTGTTTTTGCGGAAAATCTGGAGAAGGCTATGATGATCGACAAGAATGCACCCGTCAGTTTCAGTCATTTTTTTCACAATCTCCAAAAGCAGCTAAGCACTTATTGAGTTAATGAAATCTTTTAGCCATCGAATGCACGAGCAGAACCATCAACTTCATCTGGAGCATCTGCATCTATATTACGCAATGCCAGTGAGCAAACTCCTGTTAATCGCGCACTGCTGTCCGATTCGAGTGAGACTCAGAGGGTCATCTTGCCTGAAAGTAAAGTTGCCTTTACTGGTGTTGTCCAGGAAAGGAATGTGGAAGGTAAGACTTTGCCCTTTTCGGTAAAGTCCATTTTTATCCTCTTTTCAGTTCTGGACGATGCTGTTCCTGCTGTGGGTGGTGGTGATTCATCTAAACCCAAGTCTTTGTTCAGAATGAAGAGATTGAAAAATCACGCATGACTTTGGTCAGAGTGCCTAGTATTTGTGTCTTTTGCCACGGATAGACGTCTAAGGTCAGTAACTGTGTTATACGAGAATAAATTAGTTCATAGTAATCTTTTTTCTCATGGGATTGGATTTCCCTTTGATGTGTTGAACGAGTACACAGTTTTGTCTCTGCACTTTTCTGTTGTATACCCTGCCGAAATATAACAGAGCTGCAAATCATTTGGTTCTTTCCACGTACCCTGAAGATTCCTATTTGACCTAATGCATTGAGGGCATATATCGGCAGAATAAATTCTTATTGCAATGATACCAAGGATAAGTTGACTTCCGATATGAGCAGCGATTCCTACAGGATTGAAACAAAAGCAAACCATCGGGCTTAGCATGCTTACATAACAGCTTTAGGCTAATGAAACTGATGGTAAATAAACCTGATGCCTCTGCTTCATCGAGATGGGACAACAAATTTTGCGTTCAAACGAATAACTATGCTTGAAGTCGGCATTTTGCACGCGCAAATTCGAATTTGTGGCTGTGGCTGTCAAGTCTTTGAACTGGCTAATCTCGGGACTTGATCCTTTTACTCTGTCAACTTGCTTCTTAGCATAACATTTGTTGAATAGATCGATTTGCCATTTATAAATAAATACATATCATTCATTCTATGACTAGGAGACACGAGACCGCATTGCAGACATTGTCTGAACAAGCTTAATGGTGTACTTAGCAGGTTTATACTTGATACTTATCTAGTCCAAGTTCATTCACTCTTTGGAAACAGGGAAGAACAAACTCAAACTTGTTAAGACGATGTCCGCAATGCGGTCTCGCGTATCCTAGTCGTAGAATAGATGATACCTTTTGATTCAACGGATTAGCGGTAGGAAGGCGGGGCTTCGTGAATTAGTTAAAGGCAGTGTCCAGGCTAAACCTAACCCCCTCCGATTAGTGTCGATCCTGAATGTAGGCCTCAGAAAAGGGGCATCTGCGTTGGTCCAGTCTTCTAACGTTGTCTCTGAATGGAGATAAGGGGCCTGAAAGTCCCCGGCTGGGCGGAGTCTGATATCAGACTCCGCCCATCAGGGTCTGCTCACTACCTTGTCAATACGTGACTCCCGACACGTATTGACAAGGCAGTGAGCAGAAGCTGCACACTGCAAACTGCAATGCAACTGCACCCAAGCAGTTGCAGCTCCTTCCCGCTGGCCTGCCGAAGGGGACGAGCAATTCAAAACTCGCCCGCCCTCAAGAATGGGTCCCCAAAAATCGGGTTTTTTGCGAATTTTAGAGAATTTGAAGTTCGGAAATATAATCAGGGCCACCGAAAGGCCACAGAATGACGAAAACATGGGGGGCCAAATTCTGGGTGGACGCTGCCTTTAAGGCTAGAGAGTAATCAGAGAGCACGTTCACGAAAGATACGCGGACTGCGTCGCGGGCGCGAGCGGTAGAGTTCAATTACTATATTTGACCGATTGAAGGCAGTGTCCGGGCAAAAACTCGATTTTGAGATTTTGTGCTTATATGGGTCTATTCCCTATGCTGAGTCCGAAAATCCACACTGGAAAGCGCGAGAACGGCAAAAAGAGGCTCTAGCGCATTAGGGAAACAGCAAGTGGGCAGGGTCCTCCCAATTGTGAAATCGCGCTCCCAGCTTCCCGAGCGGTCTTCTCGATTCCGCTAGCCGTCCTAACATCGCTACTCTCCAAGTGCGAATGACTGACTTGAAACCGGAAACGAGAAGATCGCTCCGGAAGATGGGAGCGTGAATTTACAGTGGCGAGGTCTCCGCCCACCTGCTGATTTCGCTCCTATGTTAGAACCGTTTTTCGCCGTTTTCGCGCTCTCCAATGTCCATTTTCGGATTCAGCGTAGCGAATAGGCCCGGGTGAACACAAAATCTTAAAATCGAGTTTTTGCCCGGACTCTGCTTGGTGAAGGTATCGTTGATTCGTTGACCGTGCGGACTGCTCAAACGCTGCTGACCAATCGCGGGGCGGCTGAATTGATGCGAGAGCGCGACTTGTACAATGGCGAGTAGTATCTGCTCCAAGACGAAGGCGGTCGCCCAAATAGGTTGAAAGCATGAAAGGCGGCGGCGCGCTGGCAATTGTCAACCACAGGGCGCGCGCACGCTCGGGCAGCGGTCATCCACGCGAGCGTGCGCGCGACCCGTGGTTGACAATTGCCCGCGCGCCGCGTGCGCGTCAGCCTTGCATGCTCTCATCCTATTTGGGCGACCGCCTTCGTCATGGAGGAGATATTAGTTTGCACTGGGGCAAGCGTTTTACCCGGCGGCGCGTGCTCCACAGTGACGTGCAGTTCATGCTGTCAACTCCACTATACATATTTTGGATGGATCTATTGGGTCATTCGGAAAGTTTCTTCGTTTTCGCATTTTTAAATCCAGACGAGCACAACTTTTTACAATCAAACCTTTTCCCACCAAAAAAACTTCATTGTGTTCAGCAAAATTCTGGTAACATTGTAGTGCTGGTGCTTTTTTCTTGCGAAATCATCTTACAAGGGAACGATCCCAACTTAAGGTGGCGAATTGGAATAAACCGCATACCATTAGATGCGTCTTGATGAGCTGATTTCAAATCTACCTTCCATATCTGCGACAACGTTATCTGGAAGAAGTTATGAAAGGTTAAAAATGTGAAGTAACGGGGGTTTTGATGCATAATTTGCTGTAAAATCCAACTTGGAAGTGCATGACTAGCATCATATTGGGTGTACTGGTTTTACGGAATGCTCACATTCAGAAGAAACGCAAATAAATGTTTTTGAACAGCTAAAAAGCAACTGAAGTTTTTTGGCAAAAGCTAAGAGCAATGAAAAGTCCAAATTTGGCAAATATACATAGCAATACCTCAAAAATTAGTTGTTCAACAACACTTATTTGTATTTCTTTAGAGTGTGAGCATTCCTTGAAATCAGTACACTCAATATCATGCTAGTCATACACTCCCAAGTTGGATTTCGAAGCGAATTATGCACTAAAAGCTCCATTACTTCACGTTTTTAACCTTTCATAACTTCTTCCAGATAACGTTGTCGCAGATATGGATGGTAGTTTTGCAATCAGCTCATCAAGACGCATCTAATGATATGCGGTTCATTTTAATTCGCCACCTTAAGTTGGGATCGTTCCCTTGTTAGAGAAATCAATAAGGCTTAAAAAGGCGTATTTGACAAGCTAATTTTTATTGGGTCCTGATATTTTTTATTAGGCACCGTGGAATTGGAGAATTTGGTAACTGGTAAAGGAATGTACCTAGAGAGACTTCGAAAAAAAAACAGGAACCTCGGTGCGCACTCAACCCCTTTTGTGAGAGCCACTTTTCTTACATGTGGTTTGACGGCGTCATGGGCGAGGATGGACCTTTCATAGATTATACGTTCTTTTACTCACCTTTAAGGTATATCTTCCCTATCTCATAACCTCACTACCCGAAAGTTTGATATTTTGAACTAGGAAAAACCTCGCGCGCCGGCCCCGCCGCTCATACTCTGGGACGCGCGTGTTTGGTTCCTGCCTTTGTTGGGGAGGGCCATATATATATATGCCCTATAAGGCACTTCTCGTCGCCCTCCAGCCGTCATTCTCGTTGAATCAAAGGGTACAGACGTGGGGACAGAAGTGGGTAGGGAACCGTCGGTCACTCGGTAGCACAGCTCATCTGAAGTTGTACCGCCCCCGCGGCCACTGTGACGACGTTTGACACAGTCTGCGCCTAAACATGGCCCAATCGGCACTGCAATGACATTACATTTACCGTCAGATTTACTAGCTCATATGTAACCTCGTGAGAAAAGCCTATCTGTTCAGTTTAGCGGTGTCACTCATAGTGGCATCATTTCAGTACAGTGTTGAATAATACCAAAGAGAATTTAAGGGTGAAATCCAAACTTATTGTTTCTCAAGCTCAAACTGAGCTCAGAGTTTAACAAACAAGCAAAGCAGTGTGAGACATCACTAATCAACTACTAGGTCTCAACTCTTAACTAAGAATGTTGTTAAAGCATCAAAACAGCATGTGAGAACGAAAAACCTACCACAGAAAACAGCGTACGCTTGAAATGAGGGCTGAGGTGCCGCGCTCTACTGCAGCTCCACCTGCTTCAATCAAACTCGAGCTCGTCCACTAATGTCCAGTGGGGTGAGAACAACGACTATACTGCTATTTTGATAAATGTCCTTCGGAGATTAGAAATACCAACTATACTACTATTTTATTCTACTTTTCCTCCCACTCATGAAACTCGTCCATAAGTTACCAGAGCAGGAACCTTGGAAGCAGAAGCTCACCCCTTGAGCGATATCCTGCGGAAACTAGGACATGAAAGTCGATCCACACTCTGCCTTGATTAATCATCTTGAAAATCTTTTCCTTTCTCCTTATTATGATCGCCACTAGCTGCTGACGACGTAAGCGGTAAAACAGGGCCGCAAACTCATTTTTTATTCATCTATTTTCCCCCAAGAGTTTGTGCAAACAGATAACAAAATTTCTAAACGGCTGCGTACATTACTGCAAATATGTCTATATTTTTTTTACGCATTTTCTGGAAACATTCAATTTTCACCGAGTGTTCATACGCATTCTGAAGCTTAAATCCAGCTCATCAAATAATTCTGCTTAGGTTTCGCGCATGTTTATTTGCTTGCATCTGTTATGTATGTTATGTTAAATTGTTTTGTTATTTGCTTCAAAGTAAATAGCACAGGTGCTACACAAATCCATGTTTGACGCCCCTGTTATTGAGCCCGAAACGGTTAGTATCGCGAAAAAACAGCTTGCGTACGATTCAAACGATTCGAAATGCTTAGAAATGGTGCCGAAGTTTCGAAATATTCTCCAATATAATTCCGATAGCTATCAAACTTTGACAAATACACAGCATACTATTTGAGTTGAACTACGGAAATTCCAGCAATAGGCAAAAAGGTGTTGATGTCTACAAGAACGTTGATCTCATTGTTTTCCAAAAAATTGAATCAGTAGTCATGTTGAGTGAGGCCAGAGAAGCCCGCGAGTATACTGTTTCGCCAACATCGAGAAATGGCTACAAACAGTTCTGAAAGGGGAAGACCGTAGATTACGCTAGCTTTT